GAAGAATGGGTAATTATTGCTGAATGGTTACAGACCTTTTGTCTGGGGCGATGAAAAGTTTTGGAAATAGATCGGGGTGGGGGCAGGGGGGGTGATGGTCGTACAACATGTAAATGTAATTAATACCACTGAATTGTAAACTTAAAAACTGTAAACTTAAAACTTGTTAAAATGATAAATTTCATGTTATATATTTTTACCACAAAAAAAATTTTTAAAAGCATGTCTAGTGTCGCAGAGATAAAGTTAGGAGGGGAGGCAGGGGGACGCTGGAAGGTGCGCCTACATTTGCAAATTGCCATTCTATTGGATCATCCTAATAACCTATGAGGTGATCAAGGCTGGCACTGTTAGCTCTTCTTAGTTTAATGGATTGAAACCCTGAGGACCTGGGGTTTTGTCTTTTAACTCTTCCTTCAGTAAAAAAAATTAGTGAGCCACAGAAAGATGTGTTCATAATGTTTTCAAATTGGAACAGTTAGAGACCATTTTAATAAGGGAGACCTGGGTCTAAAGTATAGGAAATTAGGATGCTTGGGACAGACTATAGGCTGGAAGTGGTGACTCAGGGGGACATCAGAGGAAAAGGAAGAGGCTGTCAGCACTTAAACACATTTGGAAAGGTGAAATCAAAAATAAATACACAGACACACAAACACAACCTATACTTTCCAAGCACCTGGCCAGACAGAATACAGCTAAATCATGACTTCCCTCCCTTTAAATATATATGCCTCAGCCTACAATTGTTGCCCTTTTATGGACTTTTCCACTCTTTCCTTCTGTCTTCAAGGCTGCTCTTTTGAAATGTAGACCACTGGGATGTTCAAGAAAATATATACTAGCCACTGAATCATTCTTTTATGCAATTGCCCAACTTAAGTGAGGAAATACCTAATATGGTTTGGCTTGGGGGTAGTAAGGGAGAATTATGTTAAAAGCAGGCATCTTTTACTCATGAACTGAGAATATTTTAGATAGCCCAATAATCTACCATTCTGCTTTAAAGTAAGTAGTATTTGGTGCTCCACTTTCTTCTTCCTATACTGAAAGCTTCATCTCTCTCATCCTCACCACTGTACCCCCAGCCCATTGTAAAGTACCTGACTCCTAACTGGGACCCCACTAAAGCTGGTAAAATACATTTTTAAATTACTGTTTCACTGTCTCAGAACAAAAATTCATTCTTTTTCACACTGCACAGATTGAACAAAAATGTACGCACCTATTCTATGACAACCACCAACAAAATGAGTGAGCTTATCTCCACACCAAAAAGCAATCCAGCTATGCAATTTAAGTGAATAATCCGGAACGTTTCAGGGTAACAGCCATAGGATTAATTCAGGTGCCCACATTACATGCCCACGCTGGCTGAGAAGGACTCCCCCAGTGAGATGTTCCGTAATCACACAGCATACCGGAAGCCTCAATCAAATCTCCTCCATATCTAAGCAACAGAACTGAGCCCCCGTTTGATTGAAAATGTACTGGGCATCAACCACCAAAGTACTGTATTCACTGTTTCTCGTTCAAAACATTTTAGAGCTGCCAAGAACACTGGAAATAATAAAACTTTACATTTTATAAAACTTTCTAAAACATTTTAATATTGAATTTATTAAATTAATACATTAGAGAGCAGCGGCTCTCAACCAAGAGTGATTTTCCTCCCATCCAAGGACCCTTGGCGATGTCTGGAGACATTTTGGTTGTCACAGGGCGGGGGGTTTGGGTAGGGGGGATGCTACTGGCGTCTAGTGGATAGAGATCAGGGATGCTGCTAAACATCCCACAATACACAGGACCACAGGACATTCCCCCACCACTAAGAATATCCAGCCCCAAAGCTCAACTGGGCCAAAGTTAGAGTAACAACAACATGGAAGATATACATTGTGCTGAATGCTGAGAACACGGAGATAAGAGATGGCTTCTGCTATCTGGGCAGTTCAGTAAGGGACAAGAACTGGCAGATAACACTGACAACAGGCTGTGATAAGTGCTGTGACAGGGGTGTGTCCAAAAGGCTACTAAAAGCAGAAGAAGCAACTACTTTAATCAGAAGGTCAGGGTTCTTCACCAGCAGTGACTTTCCAGCTGGAATTTGAAAGATTTCCTAAAGCAGAAGAGAGTAGCGCAGGCTAGCCGAGAGAAATCGCAGAGCAAAAGCAAGGTAGTGTCACACTGCAGGACTCTGAGGTCACCATCATCGTGTGCAGGGGCCAGCAAAGCCCCAGATTAACATGGCACACCTCCCTTGAGGACTACTCTCATGTGCACAGGGGAGGTTAAGAATTTCACAGGTAAAGCGATTTTTATGGCATTTTTAAAAAGAGCAGAAACACAGGTATATGGAGTAAACTGTGTATTACTTTTCATGAATTGTAAAAGTAACATAAGAAGTTGCTTTGTCAGACTTGAAGTGCTGATGGTACTAATTAGGTTGCTCCCACCCTTGGGAATATTTTGGTGAAGTCTGAGCAATGTTTAATGTTTCAGAACAATTAGTTGCATGGTTTGGAGCACAGAGTGGATGTAGGTAGAGGGAGGAAGGCGACTGGTGGGAAATCAGGTTAGTGGCATCTTGACGGTATACACGGGCTATGCTATGCAGTCTGTTCTTCCTACAGGCTGAGCAGGGGGAGTCTCTGGAGGCTTGTAGATGAGGAAATGGCACAATGTTAGCTTTGGGGAAGCAGGTGGCAGGAGAAAGATTATGATGCGGGATGACTGAAAATATTTCACATGAGAGGTGACAAAAGTCTAAACAAGGCAATGGCACAAAGGAGGAAGATTTTAGATACAGCAGTGGTAGAATCCATTATATCTAATATGACAGTAACAGCAACTAGCTGCTTGGGCAACTAGGTGGGCAAGCAATGAGAACAGAAAATGGGGGAGAAAAGAGGATTTTTACAGCAGGGGTAAAGATGTTCTCATTTGAATCTCAAGACAACCCTGCAAATTATGTGACATATGTGGATACAATCATGCCCAGTTTACAGACGAGTTTAATGAGGCTCTGAGAGTGGAGGGGCTTGCCCAGGATCACACATTCAACATAGAAGAACTGAGATTCGGGAATTCCCTGGAGGTACAGTGGTTAGGACTCAGCGCTTTCATTGCCGGGGCCCGGGTTCAATCCCACAAGCCACGTGGTATGGCCAAAAAAACAAACAAAAAAATTACTGAGATGAGAGCTCAGGGTGCTCAGCCCCTAATGTGGGTTCTTTCCACTCAGGTTGTCCCTCTAGCCACATTTTATAGTTATAACCAAACCTAATAATCACAATAGATCAATTCTGACCAAATTCCCATAGGCCTCAAAAGCCCTGGATAAAATTCTGAATTGGTGATATTGTTAGGAGCTTGTCCACTTCTAGGCAAAGCCCAATTTGACTTTCAAGTAAATCCAAGAGAAAATTAATTGTGACTAATCGTAAAATTTAGGAGAAATGATTGAAATTTTTTTTCCCTAAATTGTTCTTTATCCAGTCCCTGTATATGATCAGAATAATTCAAAATATTTATTTTTAGAACTTCATAAGCAATCACATTGGAATAAATCAAAATTCTAGCAACAAGCTTTAGCACCTATGGACATACCTACAGGTAGGTATTGAAATGGCCTATGTGAAAGCTGTAAGCACAAAAGTAGGGATGTAACTGATGGTGTCCCCTTCAATCTACCACTCAGGTACATGCCGTCCTGAATTTCTGGAAGCAAAAATATTAATAGCAGGCTTTGTCTCAGAGGATCTAAATTCTAAAACACCCTCCAAGACGCATATAAAAATTATTCAGTTCACACCAATAATATCATGTCTCAGGAATAACAGCTGGTACTATTTATGGAGTATCACTGTATGCGATGTACCAGGCCAAGAATTTATGTGATTTATCTCATTACTCCTCATTATATGACTTAGAACTATTACTCTCCTGGTTTTACATACAAAGAAACAGGCTTATAAAGATGAGGTCACAAAAGCTTGTAAGCCAGGACACGAATCCAGATCTGACTGATTCCACAATGCAAGCTCTTAACCACTAGGCTTCTTGCTTCCCCCAAAGACTATTATCCTGGAACATAGCTCAGGACACATCAAGTTTCTATGGTTCTTGTCATCTTCCCTTGAATTTGACAGACATGTAGTCAGTCTACTGTCTTAAATCAAGTGTAGCAACTCACACCAGAAAATGGATTTCCATTCATGGCTTTAGATAATGTTAACCTGAGTTCATTTCACAGCAGTTCTAAGCCACTCCCCATAGCCACCAAAATATTATGTTATTAGAAAAAGTGGGGCCTTCACCCATGAACACAAATGGAACCGTGAGCCCTTTCTTCTGCTGTTCCTCCCTTTGATCCTCTCAATCTCTTATTTTTGTGGCTTGTTTTAGTTTATGATCAGTTCAGTGGAAACAGAGTATCACTTTTTCTCGTGGTGCATTTTCATGTGGTGAGCTCACTCCCAAATCTCTACAAGCGTGTATGATGCAAAGATCATCGCTCTCTGCTAGACCTAGAAAAGGCTCAATAAACAAATAAAAACAAATTAAGATGGGTTTGGCATGGCTGACCCATTTCATTGACCAAGTAACACAGTGATTTGAAGCCTGAGCTTTGGCAAGGGAGGTCTCAGCTGGGGTTGCAACCTGCCACTTAACCAGCTCAGTAAGCTTAGGCAGGTAAAGTGCTTCTCTGAGCCTTGTTTTCTTGATCTATAAAATGGAGACACTGATATCTACCTCCTACGACATATGTAAGAAGTTAAAGACTGTGAGTGTAAAATGTTTTAATGTGACTCCCACTATATCAGAGCTCTCAATAAGTGATAAGTTCTCCTCTACAAAAAAAAGCACCACAACCTCCATATTTTTTTCCACCTAAGATGTAGTGTGAATATAAAATAAAAGACAGCTGTCTGAGCAGGTGTGCCCCTCCTGCCAGACAGCCCACCCTTGGCTTCTTCATTTCTCCTGAAGACACTGACCTGGGAGAGAGGGCATTCTTTGGCTAATGTGCTCTGGTTCATCTCTTTGAGCAGTTCCTTTAAGGCATTACGGACCGTGGCGTGGTTCCACTGCTCCGCAGGCAAGTCTTCCAACTTCGAACAACTGGAAAACACAGCAAGAATGAATGACATGCAAACCCTTAAATGCAGAGTACAGCAGTCACCCCTGGGTCCTGTGAAGCATTAGGAGAACCACCAAAGAACAGGGTTGAATGTGGGCCCAAAATGAGGGAAAGGAAGCAAAACTGCTTCTCTAGGACCTTGACAGAGCCCATCACGGTCTCTTTCAGTTGGTTCTCACACTAGCCTGAGAAAACCGGTCACTTCGGATATGAAGAGATGCCAATTTTTTAAAATAGGATTTCTCCAATCTACTGATAGAAATGGCATGACAGTGTGATTATAAACTTCCACAATTTAAACTTAATTATTGGACATTCCTAAGGTTAAATGTAAACAAACGCTTCATCAAATTTGAAGGTCTACCCTTCACCCTCATAGAACAATCCAGAGATGTCACTTCGCTAACAAAAAACTAAAGAAAAGACATTAAAGCATTCCTAGACAAGGACAGGAATGGTGGGTCCCTATTAAAGTGTAAATTCTCCAAAAGGGGTAGATTCAAAACCTTTACAGTAAAGGACAATATTCATTAATTCACGTGAGCTGCTGGCACTTTACAATACAAGACTCTGCAGAGAAACTCTAGATGCTTTAGAGCATAATTTGTTCTGCATGCTGTATCTGAAAAAAAGAAATCATCCCCAGAACTTCTGCAGGCCACCAGAGAGGAAAGCAAGAGGCGTCCAGTACCAGCAGCTTCTTGGTAAGCAGGCTACAAGGGCACCAAACTCACCCCTCAAACACAAGCCTGAAACAGCAGAGGTGTTTATTCTTCAAATATTATGTGCTAAGCATTTAACCAGAGGACTCATTAAATTAGGGGCTGTGGAAAGTTCCCCTTTAAAGGCTGCAGATTTTTAATGATTTATCAAGCTTCCCCTAGGTTACCACTTCACTGCTTCTGAAAACAAAACATAAAACAGTTGGAATGTGGACTATAAAGATGCCTGGTGACGGCCCCCCCCTTCTTTTTTTTTTTCATTTCATCCCATGTCTAGAAATTAACAAAGACAGGATGAGCTGATCTCGGTAGCGACTCTATGATCAACGGAGCAGCTCTGAGAGTTAGGAAGGGCAGATGTTCAGAGACACCCACCTTTGTAATTGGATTTTCAACGTCACAACGTGATAGACATCTTGCAGCATGTCGGCCACTGTCGCATCGGGTGCATCTGTCACATAACTGAGGGGGAGAGGGTTCCACCTCCCAAGCTTGATTATTCCTGCACAGGGAAGAAAAACATAATAAACACATATCTGCTATTTATTAAACCCTCCCATTGTTTGTTCAATGTTAGGAAGGTCATCCAATAGTCAACATTCAAGGCCCACTCAGAGATATTTTACAACCCAGTGCAATAGACTCTTTCTTTCTGGCTGACAATTGAGTTAACTATACAGGAAGATGAGAATGAAAGGATGAGGTTTAATCATGGACAATCAGTTTTTTTATGTTTTCCTCTTTCTTAAATTACTTAGAAAACCATACGGTTACTTCCTTCCCCCAAAGTCTTGTTTCACAGTCTAACTTAAGACTGATGCTAAATATACTGAACTGCTGATTTCATAGACAAAAAAAAAGCAAGGCTTAAGTAAATATAAGATTCGGTTTTGAATTGTACAAGAAAATTCCTGTGTGTGGGCTCAGCACACACACAGTCACATCCTGGTTGTGGTGTGAACCCCAGTGCGAATAGCATCTGGAGCTGAAGAAGCAGTGAGAGTTCACTTCCAGATTCACATTTCACGAGGCACAGGGCTTGTTTTCCATAGCACAATGATTGACCACAGATCAGAAATAGCAGAGATGCTTTCAACTTCCTTTTTTTTTCTTTTTAAATTCCTCAGTTCTTTTTACAGTGACAGCGGTACCCTTTCCCTGCGGGTTTCCTGCTACATATGGTAAACACTCGTGACAATGGAGAGAGAATAAAAATCCTGGTCAAACTTGGGCAGACTCATGGGACAGCTTCAGCAGCACGTGGTGAAAATGCTAAGTTATTCACAAGATGGACCCATCTAATCTGGTGCACGGGGCGCATATAACATAGATGAAGAAAAATAAAGAGAAGCCCATTTCACAAACAACACAGTAACAAACATTTTATTTGTATGCTGTGAAAAATCCAAAGGTCCCCAGGATATCAAAAATTGTCCCATATCCAAAACAGCTATGTTTTAGTGATAGAAGAGAAACAGCATTTTTGTTTTTATTTTTGACAACGCAGGTGAGTCCAACTACACTGTTCTTTCAAAAAATATATTTTATCACCAAAGAGACAGAACACCTGTATACACAAGTGAACTTTTAAAAGCTTCACAAAATGCTGCTTTACAGCTATGGGCCGAAATTTCAATAATAGGAAATGAACTTTCTGGTCAGGGCACACGTCCTGTCCAAGATGAAATCAATGAATGCGCAATGCTTGACATAATGCTTGAAAACAGGGAATAAACAGAACAAAAATATTAAAATGATGCACTGTTTCAGTATTAAGATTTAACAATCTGGTGCTGAATATGCTGCAGTATAAATAGTGCCTGGACTCAGATCCAGTAAAGTAACACAGCTCTCATTCATAGTACCGTATGTCTCCAGTTCTGGCTCCTTAAGTCATATTTCACTTGCCAAGAAAAGCTGTTTTCTTGTGGGGATAGTTTTCCTAACATTCTCTCTCATGACAATGAAAAGTGCACAGCACACAGCATGTAGTAGTCATGAAAATGAACATCCAGGGCCCACTGGACAGCCATCCAGGAGAGGCTGGGTCTGCTTCATTGCTTCTTTTACTCCTTCTGACATGTGAAAGTACTAAAAAGATACCATGTAACATGTCTAACACAGTTCCTTCTTTTAAAAAATCACTCCACAATTTTAATCCCCTTAAAACATCATTATCATGATAGCCCATAGGTTGAGTATAAACTGACCATCTTCTAAAGATGATATTTTATTATAAGAGATTAGATGGAGAAAAAAATGAAGTCAGCAATTGCACACTATCATAGGCAAGTAGAAGAAGCCAATTTTGTGGGTCATTTTGGTTACTAAGAATATGAAGGTAGCATGAAGCAAATGAATCCTGTAAACTTTAACGCATAACTCTAGAGGCAATTCATCCATGCTGTTGTGTGTGTCATTGTTCATTCCTTTTTACTGTTGAGGAATGTTTTGCTGTAAGTTTATACCACAGTGCAGCCAGAGACAACAGAATATCTCTGAATGATTTCACTTATATAAAATACAAGAACAGGCAAGACTCATCTATGAGAAGTCAGAATGCGGCTACCTCCAGACAGCAGGGGACATAAAGGGGATTTTCTAGTTTTGGCTGGTGGTTGCACGGGTATGAAAATTGTCAAAATCCATGTAACCGAACACTTAATATGCATATATTTTATTGTATGTAAATTATACCTCAATTTAATAAAAGGTGGAGGGGGAAGAATCTCTACAGGAAATGACAGACAAGTCACTCTATTGAAAACAGTAATCTCCATTTAGATAAATTCTCTCCCCACCTTGATGAGCTGGAAGGAGACTTGTTTGGGCTGGAATTAGACACATACAGGTGTCTTCACAACACTTAATGCCTCCACAGGGAGCAGCTGCTACAGGGTGGTTTCTACATGTTGGAAGAGAGCTGCTGACACGTGCTATTTTCAGACAATGGGAAGCGCGTGTGCTTTTTCTTTTTCGCACCATATTGACTAACCTGCACCTAGAAGTCATGCTCTTTGCTCAACTACCTACCAGAGTCTGCAGGAACCAGATCTGGTAGGACAGTGATGTCCAGAGGCTGCTCTCCTCCAGCCTGGCAGGGACTTGGAGTAACTCTTTTTAATAAGCCTTTCCTCCAAATAAGGTCTCTGTCTAAAGTATTAATAACCTTCTTCGGAAATACAGTCCTCCTTCCCAGATATAAAATAGACAAAAGTATTTCTTGGGCTGGTGTCAAGTGTTAATTGAGGAAATCAAAATGGGAAGCAGTAGACCATAGTGACAAAGAATTCCGGCTTCCAAGTCAAATTGCCTCTGTTCATATCCTGCCTCCTTCACCTACTAACCATGTAACTGTAGCAAGTTACTGAATTTCTCTATGCCTCAGTCCTCTCATGTGTAAAATGGAACAATACAAGTACTGACCTCATAGGAATATTGTGCAGATTGAATGCAGAGCCCTTAGTACAGAGCCTGGATATCATTAATCCCAACAATTAATCATTTACAGTAATTATTTAGACATCTTTTAATGCTCCCTAAAAGAAAGATACAGTCAAGTTATTTCAAAAATATTTACTCAGGGATGACTTCAATATCATTTAATCTTTAATTTAGTCAAGTGCCTATAAAAGGCCCTCATTATTTTAAATCACAAAGGAAGACTGTACGTCAATCACTCGCTCTTCTTAGTAGCCTGTAAAGTCATACTGGTTCAAGTGTGAGGCACTTCAGAAGCAAAGACTGGAAAAGATCTTGGTTCCAAGTCTGGAAGGCCTCAGATGCCCAACTCAGTAACGCACCGTATGGGTCAGAGGTCAGGAGCAAGGCCTGGAGTCAGAGGTGAGTCCATGCCCAGCCTCCTCTGCTTGTCAGCTGCAAGATTTGGGGCAAGTTATTCAGTTGGTCTCTCTAAGGCTTGGTTTCCATTACCTGTAAGATGGGAATAATAACAGTGCCTACTCTTTAGGGTTGCCATGAGGCTTAAAATGAGAATCAGAATGTAGCAGTGGGATGGCACACAATAAATGCTCAGTAAAAGTTAGGGGAAAATAGATCTTTGAAAGTTATTGGGTGTAGATGTAACACCATCAAAGCTTTAGGATGATGAACCTATACTGGAATTCAGATGGATTAAAAAAGGGAAGCATTCTGAGGGGAGAAAAAAAAGAGCTGAAATAATCCAAATAGGTATATCTAACAACTATGACAGCCTCTTCCTGGCTCCCTCTAAGGAGGGATACAGACCCCAAGAAATGCTTCAGTACAGTGAAGGCGAACGAAGAAGGAAGAGTGAGTTATGTTCCCACTGGGGATATCTGACTCGCAGTGCTGGAGAAATCTCAATAAAAACAGCATAACTATAAGTATACAGAATTATTTCTAATGCTTACATTCCATGAGTAGGTTTTATAGCCCCAATCCAAAATATGAGGAAAACTAATGATGATTAGATAGTACTTTACACACACACACACACACACACACACACACACACACACACACACACACACACACACTCAAGCCCAGCCAGGCACACAGTACATGCTCAATAAATGGCAATTCCCAATTCTTCTCTGAATATATATCACACTCTCACTCTGTCTGGAGTACTGATCCCATGCATTCACTTCTAGAAATCGTACACATTCTTCAAATTCTGCACCAAGAATAATTCCAACTCTCATCAACCCAGCCTGAAGTAATTCCTTTCTCTATACAGCTGCACAGTAAATACTCTTGGTTAGTTTGTGTATCTTAGAAGGAGCTTACTTTATCACAATATCCCTTTATGTTACTTTACAGTTTACAAAGCGTTTTTTTCCAAACTATTAGTTCATCTTCACAAGGAGAGAAGGCGGTCAGTATGACACCTGAAAGTGAGATGAAGATCAGAGAAGAGTGAGTTTTCAAGGACATCTGTGGGTGACAGCCAGAACCAGGCCCCAGGGCTTCAGCTGACAAGTTTTCTAACTACTGGACCAATATCCTTTCTACTCAGCTCTGCCCGTGTGCCAGTGCCCAATCACACAGTCACACATGGGGCAGGGACTTGACATTTAATGTTAAACAAAGGAACATATGAGACCAATAAGCAAACAGGTGACAGGGCCTGAAGAGACAGCTTCTCTGGAAAAAAATCTTCTCCCTCAACAGTGCCATTTCAGACATAAACATTGTTTCCCACATCATCTTTCCTATTTCCAAAGAATTTATCATCTGTGAACATTTACAAAATGCCTGGCGCTGAGGATTATTAAAGATGCAATTTCAAGGTCTTTGAGTCCCAAATTATGGGCCTTTATTTTGGGGTTGAAATTCATACAAATGTTAACATGATTGAATTGAGCATAATATAAATAAAATTGCTTATATCTAGACAAATCTGTTCACTAAAATACAGAGGACCAATCCACTCTTCATGTTATGCTTTTAGACCAAATAAAAAAATGCAATTGTAGGTAAATTTCCCATTAGTGACATAAAATTAGGTTGGGAATG